CCCTGTTCACCCAAAACAATTTCCCTGGTTACTGAATTAGCCCATTGCTCCCGTTTGTGCAGTACAAGCTAAACCCAAAGAGCCATTTGGACCCGTTTCCCACAGAAAAGAAAACACCGGGAGCCATAAAACCTGGGTGGGCGTGGCCAACTCAACGTCACTCACTTCTACCAGTCACATGACCCGCTAGCCACACCTACCCAGCCGGCAGAGAACCAGTTGTTAAAAAACACCGGGAAACCACAAAATCCTTTTGACATATCTCTCTCTCCCCTCCCTCCCTCCCTCTCCCCTCCCTCCCTCTCTCTCTCTCTGTATCTCTCTATGTCTCTCGCTCTCCCCCTCTCTCTGTATCTCTCTGTCTTTGCCCTGGCCGCTTCTCCATCCCACACCATCGCCCTTACCTTCTCAGGCCAGGCGAGGAGTGACTGGGAGGGGAGGCCCAGCAAGTGGTGGGATCACCTGACAGGGAGCCACAGCAGAGGGCCCAAAGAGCCGCATGCGGCTCTGGAGCCGCAGGTTGCTGACCCCTGGGATAGCCTTTTTTTTTTTTATTTATTTATATGCCGCCCTTCTCCGGAGACTCAGGGCGGCTTACAATGTGTTAAGCAATAGCCTTCATCCTTTTGTATATTTATACAAAGTCAGCTTATTGCCCCCACAAACTGGGTCCTCATTTCACCTACCTTAGAAAGGATGGAAGGCTGAGTCAACCTTGAGCCTTGGCGAGATTCGAACCCTGCAGTAATTGCAGGCAGCTGGTCTTAATAACCAGCTTAATAACAGGGTGCCTTAAACCCCTGTACTACCAAGCCTATTGTGAGAATGCAATCACTGATATTTCCATCTCAGACCAAAGGCGGCCTGAGAATTAAATTTTCTCCCATCGATATCAAGTATTCAGCCATCTCACCGAAACTCATTCAAGGGACGTATGCAGTGGTGGGATTCAAGTAATTTAACAACCGGTTCTCTGCCCTAATGATTTCTTCCAACAACCAGTTTGCCAAACTGCTCAGAAAGTTAACAACCGGTTCTCCCGAAGGGGTGCGAACTGGCTGAATCCCACCACTGGACGTATGGTATCTTCAAGACAGAGGCAAGTGCAGGAGAGAAACTGTCTTTATGTTCCCCTGCAATACCTTAACTTATGAGATAAACAACGAATGCAGATGCTTGACAGGTATCACTCTAACCTTCCAGAGAACCTGGGGAAAGCTGCTTGGACCAACCCCAAAATACGCAGCAAGTCATATAAACTGACACACATACACAGAGAGAAGCACAGATTTCGTTCTTTCACAATCACCCACTCAACGAAAACACAAGCCAGCAAGCACACCATTCACAGACGCATACAAACAGCAGATTATATGCACACAGATACAACGGCACCAGATCTGAACAGGAACGGGTAAGAGTTTGGTTGGGTGAAACATGGGAGGTGCAGCCAATCACAGTTTTCCTCGCTTAGGGTCCCACCTACCCACCCACCTATCTCCATCTGTGATTCAGAGCCATTTGCCAGCTTTGATTTTTCTGGTCCCATTCATCTCTCCCATTAGGAAGAACGACAAAAAACTTCCATTCATCAACTCAGGCAGTACAGATTGGGTTTCCAAGCCTGTTTGGTAGGTGGCCTCCTAGTTTGCAAAAGAGGATGCCTTGATTTGGATGTCACAGCATGGCAGCTTCCAACTTCCTCAGTCAGGACTTCGTTTTTCTCTTTGCCCTGAAATTCTGGGCAGGTATGGATGGGCAAGTGTATTGGTCGGTGCAGAAGATAGCAATAGCAATATCCCTTAGACCAGTGGTGGATTCCTCCCGGTTCGGTCCGGTTCGGCCGAGCCGGTAGCAGTGACGATATGACGTCACCGAACCGGTTCTCCCCCCCCGCCCTCCCATCCCCCCACCCACCCATTTTATTCTTACCTTTTATTTGGTCCCACCCCCAATCTATTGCTGCCTCCTGAGTCCCAGCTGATGACTAGAGGGAAAAAAAACTGTTTAAACTCTTGCCGCGGGGCTTCAAAGGGCCGTCCTACAGCTGATCAGTGTTAAAAGCAAACAAATGAGTCAGGTCGTAAATGCGAGGACTGGTCATAAGTGCGATGACTGGTCGTAAGTGCGAGGACCTTCCAGAAATGACTCTGTCCAGCTAGCCACGCCCACCTAGTCACATGACCTCCAAGCCACACCCACAAAATAAGCCACGCCCACAGAACCGGTAGCAAAAAAATTTAGAATCCACCCCTGCCTTAGACTTATATATCGCTTCACAGTGCGTTTACAGCACTCCCTAAGCAGTTTATAGAGTCAGCATATTGCCCTCAAACATCTGGGTCCTCGTTTTACCAACCTTGGAAGGCTAAGTCCGACTTGAGCCAGTCAGGATCGAACTGTTGGCAGTTGGCAGAATTAGCCTGCAATACTCATTCTAACCACAGAGCCACCATGGCTCATCACAAAGGCTTTTCTTATCTAACCGTGGTAGAAAAATCTCTCAGCAGCCTCTGTTTGCAGCTTGCCTTCGTGACGTTGCCTTCATCTGAACTTCTCCTTGAGCCGGTCAGTTTTTTATTTATTTATTTATTTATTTATATTTGAATTTATATACCGCCCTTCTCCCCGAAGGCACTCAGGGCGGTGAACAGCCGAAATTTAAATACATACAATATAAAAGTTAAGATAGCTAAAATAAATTAAATCCATCGGCCCCCAATTTAAAACCCCAAAGCTATACAATTAAAAACTAACCCATAAAAAATCTAATTAGGCCAGACCAGCTTGCTGAAATAAAAACGTCTTCAGGGCCTTACGGAAAGTGCGGAGATCCGGGATCAGTCGTATTCCGGGAGGAAGCTCATTCCAGAGGGCGGGTGCCCCCACAGAGAAGGCTCTCCCCCTGGGGGCCGCCAGCCGACATTGCTTGACCGACGGTACCCTGAGGAAGCCCTCTCTGTGAGAGCGTATTGGCCAGTGGGAGGTTATCGGTAGCAGAAGGCGGTCTCGTAAATACCCTGGCCCTAAGCCATGGAGCGCTTTAAAGGTGAGAACCAACACCTTGAGGCACACCCGGAAGACCACCGGGAGCCAGCGCAGCTCGCGCAGGAGAGGTGTTATATGGGAGCGCCATGTCGCTCCCGTAATCACCCGCGCGACCGCATTCTGCACCAGTTGGAGCCTCTGGGTGCTCCTCAAGGGGAACCCCATGTAGAGAGCCTTACAGTAGTCCAGGCGGGAAGTGACGAGAGCTCAGCCCATCATGCCAGATTCCTAAGAGATCTGCTGGGAATCCATCTCTTGTGCATACCGCCCTATGCACATTACTCATAGCTGCATAGCTCATCTCTGTACCACATTAGCTCGCAACTGCCTCTGGTCTCTTTAACCCTCATAGACCTTCCTCCCCACACACATGCACAGCAAAAGCCATAAGCACAACTTTGGTGCTTGTGAGCAGGCCACACGGACGAACGCTGAGCTCCGTACCCCTGTCTCTGCCCAAATCCTTGCCCAAACAGGTGGGGGGGGCATTTCCTCTTTTTTTGCAAACCAAGGGCCATCGAGGTGTCTACAGTCCTTTGCTCCCTCCACCTCCAGCCTCTTCCCTTGGCAGCATCCCTGGGCCTGTCAGTCAAACGGCAGCTGCAGAAGAGATGACTTCAGGCTGCTCAGTTCTGCAGTGAACCGGCTTGTGCCTGCAAACACATCCAGCAAACTCAGCCCCTGCAGCAATTCCCCGGAGGTACCAGCGGAAGGTGAAAGCTAACCACCGCACACCTGCCTCTTCGGCCGCAGCTACCTGTGAGCAAACAAACAGCTAAGCACCCTCAGATAGATCTTTTTAAGCAAGCAGTTAGATGTATTTGGCACACGCACGCACACACATTAGCCACACCTGCCAACAGTCCACTGCATAAGCCCTGCTTGTCTGCACACAACTTGTCTGCCTGCCCACAGACATCCATAACCCAGTTTTTGAATGAACCCGTGGTCTGTTTCCTACATGCAACATGGAACCATCCTCTGACAAACCATTGGCTAAGCTGCAAAAGAATTAACCCAGTTTAGACCAGTGAGCAAAAAAATAAAAAATAAAAAAACAGCTTGTCAGTCTTTAATCCACTTGGTTAAATATGTCCCGTTAACATTATCTTGTGTTCCTGGGGATGCTTATTTTTTGCTGGGAAAAATTCCCCTCTCCTCCCCCCCAGCAGACGTGTGTCCAGCACAGAGGTCCACACAAGCCAATCCGGGGGTGGGGGGGAGAATCCCAGTTATGGGTCACTGCACCACAGCGGACCCACACCCGGTGTGCCGCCGTGGTAGAGCAAACCACACCTAAGCCATTCTGCAGAGCCGCCTCTCGGTCCCAAGAGATCCTTTATCCCACCATCATTCCAAGGGGCACCACGGAAAGTTGCAGTGATTTTATTTTATTTTATTTTATTTAAAAAAAAAAACCACCCTGCAAAGTTGCGGGAAAAGAGGCGGGGGGGACGGGGAACCCCCCCCCAAAAAAAACAAATTAAGGAATTGGGTGGGGGGGGGAGAGAAAAACTACAGGCGGGGGAGGGGTGGAATCAGCAGGTAAACGGCAGCCTTCAAACCAACAAACCAAATCCCCCCCCACCCCCCAGCTACCCACCCACCCAAATGGAAAATCGCGTGGCTTCGGAGCCTTCCTCCGGATTAACCCCGCAAGAGGTGGTGTAAATGCCACTTCTCGTCTCCCACCCCGGATTCTGGGGAGGAAGACGCCTAGAACGCGGGTGTTTGAGTGATCCGAATTTCCTTTCCCCCCCCCCAAAAAAATAAGGCTCCAAGACCCCCCCCTCCCCATTAGCCCCCCCCCGCCCCCCGCAAGGAATGGCTGGCCTGGTGGAACTAAGTGGGGGATGCCCCCTCCAGGGAATCCCTGCCCCCCCCACACACACACATACACCGCTTGCCTGCCTGCCTGGGGAGCGGGGCTGGGGAGGGGGAGGGGGTCTCACCCTGATGCGGCGGTGGGGTGATCATGATGGGGGGGACGACGCTGGCGAGGCGGCAACTCCCGAGGAGGCTTGATCCGGCGCGAAAGAGCGACTGCGGCACGGCCAGGCTGGGCGGGCGAGAAATAAGACGGGAGCGAAGATGCGGGATTGGGTGGTGGGGGTGGCTTTTCTTTCCCAGCAAGTCCTCCCCCCCCTCCTCTCCTCTCCTCCGCCACTCGCCTCTCTCTCTCTCTCTCTCTTTCTCTCTTTCTCTCTCTCCGCTTCGCGTGGGAAGGGAAGGACCAGTGGAAACGGAGAGAGATGGATCGTCTCCACGGGAGTGGGGAGGTTGGGGTGGGGTGGGGGGTGGGGGTCCGCAGCCAATCTCAGACCTTTGGCTTCTGATGTCGCCGTTTCCCAAAAACGCGAAGCATCCTAATTTTTTAAGTGTTTTTAAGTGTTTTGTTTATTGCTTTTAATTAATGGGGCCAAATTTATATATATATATATTTAACTGTATTTTAATATTTGTACTTGATGTTTTTACTTGGCTGTTCACCGCCCTGAGTCCTCAGGGAGAAGGGCGGTATACAAATTCAAAATAAAATAAAATAAAATAAATAAATCCCCCCCTCCTTGGCGAAGAAGGCGCCTGGGGGGGTGTCTTTTTTTTAAAAAAAATTGATTTATATGCCGCCCTTCTCCGGAGACTCAGGGCGGCTTACAATGCGTTAAGCCAGTGGTCCCCAACCCCCGGTCCGCGGACCGGTGCCGGGCCGTGGAGTACCTGGCACCGGGCCGCGCAGCGGCCGGGGGACAGGAACGCTTCAGCGCAAAGGCTCCTGGGCCGTGCGCAATGGGCCTGCGCAAAGGCTCCTGGGCCGTGAATAGCCTTCATACTTTTGTATATTCATACAAAGTCAGCTTATTGCCCCCGCAATCCGGGTCCTCATTTTACCTACCTTAGAAAGGATGGAAGGCTGAGTCAACCTTGAGCCTGGTGAGATTCGAACTTGCAGTAATTGCAGGCAGCTGATGTTAATAACAGTGCTTTAGTCTACTGAGCCACCGGGGTCTTGCTTCCCAAGGACCCCTCTAGAGTCCCATCCCGTCCCCACGTCCCCCGAATCGGACACCACTCACTCCGCAGTACCTTATACAGAACACAGAATAACAAGAGTGGGAAGGGACCTTGGAGGTCTTCTAGTCCAACCCTTGACTCAGGCAGGAGACCCTAGAGCATTTCAGACAAATGGTTGTCCAACCTCTTCTTAAAACCTTCCAGGGTTGGAGCGTTGGCAACTTCTGGAGGCAAGTTGTTCCACTGGTTAATTGTTCTCACTGTCAGGAAATTTCTCCTTAGTTGCTTGATGGGTTTCCATCCGTGGCTTCTTGTCAGGTTGGCTGACTCCTTGCCAACAAATCTATTTACTAAACTCTGGTGGGCCTGAGGTATTCTCCTGGGAAACCCCCTTCGCTTTCTCCTGAAGTTTTCCTCAAAAAAGACTCCTGTCAATCTTCTCCCTGTGGCCCAGAAAATCAGGACGGGAACCGCTCCGCAGCGACTGGCTTTCTCCTTCGGCCGAAAATCTTGGGGGGAGCCTCCCTGCACAGGAGCAGTCTACCCCTGCTTAGTGACTCGGCTACCTCCTCGGCGATGTGCCAGTAACTTTGCAGCTGTGGCTGATTTTTGTCATTCTGGATGGACCCCCCCCCCTTTTACCCAACCAGTAAAGCCCTCTTCTTGGGGTTACAACATCCAGAACGACCCGGGGGGGGGCTCTTTTGCTCACAACATTTTCAATGCCCAAAATTTAGGGGGTACATTTTTCACTTCCTTTGTACCTACCTATGCAATTTCTGCCAATAATGGGATGGCTTTAGCGCTAAACAATGGCAGGGCCCATTCAGGAGCACCCAAAGAATTGCAAAAACTTCAGCGGCTGCAGAGCAGAACAGACAGATGTAAGCTGGCCATTGAATGATTGAAGAGATTGGAGTGCCATTTGTCAGAAATGGTGCAGAGTCTTCTGCTTGGAGGGTGGTTTGGACTAGATCAGTGATGGCTAATCTTTTTGCCATTACGTGCCAGGAGTGGGGGGCGGGAGGGTGTCAAGTATGGGCGTGCCCACACCCATAATTCTATGCCCCCTGTGCATGCACACGCAACCCCCCCACTCTCCCCGCTCCTGGCACGTGATAGCCTGATAGGCCCATTTTTCTCTCTCACCTGGCTCCAGAGCCTCTCTAGGAGTCTGGGGAGGGCGAAAACGGCCTTCCCCGCCTTCCCGGAGGTCCTTTGGAGGCCGAAAACAGTCACACCCTTGTCACTTTCCGTCTGGACTACTGTAACACTCTCTACATGGGGCTCCCCTTGAGGAGCACCCGGAGGCTCCAACTGGTCCAGAACGTGGCCGTGCGAGTGGTTATGGGGGCGACCTGTTGCTCCCATGTAACACCTCTCTTGCGCGAGCTGCACTGGCTCCCAGTGGTCTTCCGGGTGCGTTTCAAGGTGCTAGTCACCATCTTCAAAGCGCTCCATGGCTTAGGACCGGGATACTTACAGGACCGCCTTCTGCCACTGATTGCCTCCCACCGCCCGATACGCTCCCACAGAGAGGGCCTCCTCAGGGTGCCGTCGGCCAAACAATGTCGGCTGGCGACCCCCAGGGGGAGAGCCTTCTCTGTGGGGGCTCCTGCCCTATGGAATGAGCTGCCCCTGGACATAAGGAGGATCCCCGACCTCCGCATCTTCTGTTGTGCGCTGAAGACTTTATTGTTTCAGCAAGCCGGCCTGACCGAATGAATTAAGTGGGTTTTAATGGTTTTAAAGGGGTTTTAGCTAGGGGTTTTAAATATGGCCAATGCTTTAAATTATTTTAAATTGTTTTTAATTTTTGTGTTAGTATTATTTTACCATGGCTGTACACCGCCCTGAGTCCTTCGGGAGAAGGGCGGTATAGAAATGTAATAAATAATAATAATAAGAATAATAAAAATAAAAATAAGAATAATAATAATAAGAATAATAAGAATAAGAATAAGAATAAGAATAAGAATAAGAATAAGAATAATAATAATAATAATAATAATAATAATAATAATAATAATAATAAGAAGAAGAAGAAGAAGAAGAAGAAGAAGAAGAAGAAGAAGAAGAAGAAGAAGAAGAAGAAGAAGAAGAAGAAGAAGAAGAAGAAGAAGAAGAAGAAGAAGAAGAAGAAGAAGAATGGTCCCACCATTTTCAGGACGTTTTTGGCCCAGAAAATTGCCAGAAAAATGGCCAGAAAACTGCCTGGAAAATGGCCCAAAATGGTCATAAAGCACCCAAAAAACAGGCATGTGCACGCCGGCCAGCTGGTGCTCGGGTTTCCGGCACTCACGCATGCACACACATTCCGATTTGGGCACTCGGTGCCAAAACGTTTTGCCATCACCGCTCTATTGAATCCCCATAACCTACCCGTCAACATGTCTTAGAACAGATAACGCAAAATCCTTCCTAGCCATTCATCTCCTGTGGAAACGAAACACCTATTTATTGGATCGTCAAGTTAATTTAAACTCACCCTTTCATCCTAAAGACAATGGCTGATTTAGGAACCCTTTGTTCCAGCTTTATGGAAGAACAAAACCAGGACTGAATGAGGGGATGAGTCCCCCCTTCCCCCCCCCCAAGGGCTCTGTGCTAAATGAATGGGTCCTTTTCTTTAATCCTGGGCACGGCCCACCTTGCTAATAATGTAGAGCAGTGTTTCTCAACCTTGGAAGCTTGAAGATGGGTGGACTTCAATTCCCAGAATCCCCCAGCCAGCGCTGCTGGCTGGGGGATTCTGGGAGTTGAAGTCCACCCATCTTCAAGCTACCAAGGTTGAGAAACACTGATGTAGAGGATCCCAAATCCACTAGAGCCACAGGCCTCTGAATGGAAATCTTTACGCTTCTGATCCACCCATTGTCTGACGGTTGACTGCTGCAGCTGAAGGTTGCCTTCCCCCCCAATTTGGTAAGCTGCTGTTTACAGGTAGTCCTCAACTTACAACATTTCATTTAGTGCCCATTCAAAGTTACAACGGCACTGAAAAAGGTGACACACTGCCTTTTAACACTGATCAGCTGTAGGGCGGCCCTTTGAAGCCCCACAGCAAGAGTTTAAACAGTTTTTTTTCCTTCCAGCCGATCAGTTGGGACTCGGGAGGCAGCGAATAGATTGTGGGCGGGGCCAAATAAAAGGTAAGAATAACACGGGGCGGGGGAGGGCCCAGCTCCTGAACAAAGAGAACCGATTCGGTGACGTCATATCATCACCGCTACTGGCTCGGCCGAACCGGGCTGAACCAGGAGGAACCCATCACTGCCAAACACGATCTGCGCATGCGCACACACCAGCAAACCGGTAGCAAAGGTAAGTGAAACCCACCGCTGCCACAACTTCTGGAGGCAAGTTGTTCCACTGATTAATTGTTCTAACTATCAGGAAATTTCTCCTTAGTTCTAGGTTGCTTCTCTCCTTTGGTTAATTTCCATCCCTTCCTTCTTGTCCTGCCCTCAGGTGCTTTGGAGAAGAGCTTGACTCCCAGTGCCAATGTTGATGACAAACCCGGCAGTGAAGGACTCCTGCCAAGCTATCTCTTCAGCTTTGCCCAGTACAATCTCCTTCCATCTTTTTTTTTTTTTTTTTACATTTCATCACCCTCTGATTCCACTCCACACAGCCCCGTTGTTTGGCTGCCAAGAGATAACTGGAAGTCAACATCCAAGGTTGGTGATCCCAGCGCGCAGGACATAAAGGCGCACAAAATGGCATTCTCTTCCCCTTTGACGTCTTTGCAATTTTTCCATCCAAGCCAGAGTTGCACGGCGCAGCTCGAGGAGGCTGAATGAGAAACTCCCAAAGGGACTATTTATTTAAAAAGTTTAGGGAGCTACGCAATGCCTCAGCCCTCTGGGGCCAAGTGCAAGACGCAAAGTGCAACATTTAAAAAAGGAAAAGGGGAAAAAAAACAGCTTAGGTTGTGAAAAACATTAGAGCACATGCCTTTAAGAAAAAAAATCCGTCAGGGATGCAAAGCAGAATTCAATTTTTAGGGGTTTGTAAATACTTTGACGTGGTGGCTCAGTGGCTAAGACTTTTTCTTTTACATCTTTGGGCATAGTTATCTAACATTCCCAATATTTTGTCCTCCTGTCATTAAAATACACAGCTTTCAGGTTGGAGTGGAATACTTTT